TAAAAAAAAAATTTTTTTTTTTTTTTTTTTTTTTTTGGTATGTTTTTAGTGATTTTAGAGAGAGAAGAAGGGAGAGGGAGCGAGAGATAGAAACATCAATGATGAGAGAGTCATTGATCGACTGCCTCCTGCACGCCCTCTCCTGGGGATCGAGCCCGAAACCCGGGCATGTGCCCTGACCGGGAATCAAACCAGTGACCTCTTGGCTCATGGGTTGATGCCACACTGAGCCACACTGGCGGGGCAAAAAGCTTATTTCTTTTTAATAACTTTTTGTTTTGAATGTTGGTGCCGACATTAGTTGTTTTAGTACTCTCCCAGCTAGGATAATTTACAAATTAGTAAGAAAATCCTTAAGATCTTTAGCCAGGTAAGTGTGCAGTGCCTCAGATCGTACAGAGTCTTCTAAGCTGAAAAGAGAAAGGACTTTTGGATGATGCACATGAGAACTTCCATGTTACGGTTAGAGCACCAAGAACTAAGTGGCTTTAGGAGTTTCAGGAGAGTGATGTCTCGAAGACAGGAGGAGAGAAACACGGTGCCACATATATTCACACGACAGAGCGGGACAGAATGTTTATTACAAAACACCAGGTGTGAGAACTTACAACAGTTGCTTCTCTACTCTGGGCTTTATATTCCACAACTNGGACGTCAGAGCGGGACAGAATGTTTATTACAAAACACCAGGTGTGAGAACTTACAACAGTTGCTTCTCTACTCTGGGCTTTATATTCCACAACTGTCATGCTGGGGAGCTGGGCTCAGGTCCTGTCCATCTTTCTATCATTCTAACTCAATGGAACAGCCAAGAGTAAAATAAACGATACCATTATTCTATTTTACATTCCACAGTGGAAGGGACATGAGAGTGTTAAGGAATCAACTTACCACGAGGCTAGTGTTGAACTTATAAAACCTCTGGACTGTCCTGTCACTGAAGCTGTTGCACAAGTTCTTCTTGACAAAGTTGGGGTGGTTCAGGATGTCATTTGCTACCAGGGGCTCCTAACAAGGCCAAACAGAAGACATAGGCCATGTAATTAGTGAGCTGCAGTCTGCTGGAGAGTTGAGCTACCAGCTTTGCAACAAATACCTTGTGGGTTATGTGCTGTTGTTCCACAGGTGCATGTCCCTTGGGGTCAATGAGGGTCGGATGTGCCACCAGATAACCCCTGTCCTCCATTATGAAGCACCTGCACCAAAACAAGTGACAACCCTGTCATTGGCGCTGTTTTTCTGTGCCTTCGGAGAGCATTGATCTTGCTAACTCTGAAACGAATTGCATTTATCTCAGGTTCTCAATAAACATTCATTGATAAAATGGAGGATGACTGGCAGTCAGGTAGACAGATACATTATTCTCGAGGTGGTGGATCACTGGCACACTGTTTAAGGTGAGAGAGTTACACCTGCCTCTGACGGCACCTACACAGTTCACACAGTGTGACCACCCAGTCCAAGGAAGATGGACTTGAAGATCTTTGGCAAGGATGTATCAGCAAGAAGTTTATTCTTTATTTTGAGGAGGGAGATTCTGAAAAGAGTGACCTTGAGTATTTATAGGCACACACTTGAAGTCGACCATCCAATTTCTCCTTTTGATGATAAACATACATAAAATATGACATTCGGGGGACATACAAAAATATATTGGATGGAAACTCTAAATCAGTAAAGCCAGGACCGCTCTAACCAAGGCTACATTCTGCTCTATTTTACTCCACATTCTTCCCAACAATTCGCCGTGAGTCCTGTATCTCCCCATTAAGGGCCAACGTGAAATTTAGCAGTGATGTGCAGCACGGGCCATGAGATTGGAATGAGAAAGCTATTTTTAAAAGTGGCCTGCATTAAACCAAGGGAATGCCTTTGCTTTGATCAGACACGATCTTTTGAAATTCAGGCGGCAAAGACTTTTGGTTCCATGAGCCTCTTTCTGGGGAAGGAGAATCTGAAACATCTCACAGGACTTTGGTTTAATAACCAAGTTAGCACCAAAAGTGCTACCCAAGAGTACCCTCTGGTAGCTTCTAGCACCCAAAGTATAGGAAACCTCTAATTACTGACTTCTAAAGAAACAAGAGCTGTAAGAGAATTCTGTGCCACAGTTCCTCTCCGTCATGAGCCAAGTCTGTCTGTCTAAATCACAACTGGCAAGCATCTTAGAAAATTAAAAAAACAAAACAAAACTGAAACCTTCTTCATAGAACACCCAGACCACGGACTCCATTTCTGGCCGCGACCACGGCAACGCAGCTGCCGTTCAAGCAGAGACGCCTGACGACATTCCCACGCGTCCCGCCGCTAGGAAGGACGTGGTGCCCCGAACGACTTACCTGATTTTGTTGCCGCCGTCTTGGTTACAGACCGGCAGTAAGTCCATCAGAACCTTGTAGAAGTATCGAAGCGTGAAGTCAATGCCCATCACGGCCACCGTGTGCCCGGACGACATCTGTGTACTTCATGCGGGAAAGACCAAGAGAGGGAGAGGCGGGTTATTTAAAGGTAAAAGCCACGCTCAGTCGCAAGGACAGCGTTCGGTCCCAGGAACACACGCCGGCTTTTCCTCCACATTCCACCCCCACAGAAACGGCCGACGAAATGACTGGGCCAGCATCACAGGGAGATGTGCTGAGAGAAAAATGTAAGGCTCAAGTAGAACTTTCTAAAAAAAGACCAGCCAGAGAGCCGGCAGCTGTGGAATATGGCCAGTCCTGGCTAAGGATGTTCACACGAGACCGGCGAGAATCTGGGGGTGGGAGGGAGCAGCATCGGGGGGAGGGTGGGCGCACGGCTGCTATGGGTCTTTACAACGAGGAACCTTAGACAAGGAACCGGAATCGGCCCCTTAATTATTTCCTTCTTTTTTTTTTTTTTTTTAAATACATCTTTATTGACCTCAGAGAGAGGAAGAGAGAGGGAGGGAGAGAGAGAAA